CTAGTGGTTGGGCCTTTGGCCCATGCTCTTCCATCATGTCTTCATCTTAAGCTTAATCAACAAATATTAATTTTGGGCCTTCATTTGTAAAATTGACAACATGGTTTGGAATTTTGTATGATCTATGAACTTTAATGTACATAAAGTGGTCACTATTGCTTGTAAGCATGTTTGTCGTCCTATCAATGAAGGAGGTTTTAGAATTATTTCTTTCAACCCTTGATGAGGCAACTTATCTTAAGTTGCACGTTTACTCTAAGTGCATACCTCCTTTATGCTCATGCATAGTTTGAAGGTTATTGCACCAGAGCCTCCTAACAATGATGCTTTTAGGTGACGTGGTTTGTATGTGTTGTTAGTTTGTTTGTTGTGTGGTCAAGTGGAAGAGATGACGGACCATCTTTTTTTTTTTTTTTGCTCTTCGTCCATGTCTTCTTGGTCTTGGCTACAAGACATTATTTAGGTACCTTTTGGTCTCATGTCAACACATGGCCTTTTGAATGTTCTAGACAATTGTTGGAGTGGTTAGGTTTAGGATGTATTTTCCTTTGCATTAGTGCATGTTTTTTGAATCATCTGGTACCTGTGGAGTAAAGTGTGATTCCAAAATCATTAACCTCCATTTGAACAAGCCATTTCAATGGTTATATTCATCGTATCCGTGTCTAGATAGCTTTCCATTGAATGTATCTCTCATTTATGGACTGATGTATAGATCCTTTAACAATAATATGAAGTGACTGGACAACCAAAGCCCCTAGTGATTAAAAAGGTGGACTGGAACCCTTCTGTTTGTGGTGTCATCAAGTGTAATATTGAGGGTACAATACTTAGATCATCAGGGCATGTTACTTGTGAATTTCACCCTCTCAAAAAAATTTCTCCATCATCTTAATCGTTCACTCAATCACTCAATTTCTCACAACAATGGCTCACAAGGTTACTCAGTTGATCAATTGAGAAATCTCAAATAGGTAATTTTAGGGTTTGTTATCTTATCTCTCTCGTAACAATCTCTCTGAATGACTTTATCAGAATCTTCTATTTGATAAATTATTCAAATCTTAGGGTTTTATATATTTTTCTCTTGAATATATTTCATTCATCCTCTAATGTTTTACGTGTTAATTATTTTAAAGATAACACAATTCAAATATTGCATAATTATTAGACAATGCTTGCGTCTGTTTCTAATAGCACAATTCCTGCATAGTTTTGCTACACATTTACAATTTTATATATTTAGTGGCATTTTTTTTGGAACCATCAACAATGCTGTTATGGAGGTTCAATGAAGTGACCTTCAATTTTAGAGTTTCTAGTAAGCAATTTGTGAGATTGACAAATTAAGATGAAGGAATAGTTGAGATTTCGAGGAGTGATGATGTCCAAAACAGGGTTCGCATCAAAGCACCAAATGATCTATTTTTTCTTCTTCATATTTTAGCCTCATTTGTTTTATTAATTGATCACACAATAATGATTATGATGATCTTAAACCTTCAAAGTTGCTATAGATTATGTTAGGTAGTAATGTTTTTAAACTCTTAATAACTCTGGTGCTTGCAAATTATGAAGGATCCAGTTGGGATGATAGTGACCCATCAGTCTTGAAAATGAATGTTTTGACAAGCAAATTACAAATGGTTATGGACCAAATAAAGCTCCTAAAATCATGAGAGAAAAATAAAATGCTTTAAAACATAACAAGGAGCAACGTTTTAAAAAAAATTTAATTGAATAATATAGAGCTATGGTGGCATGCAGGATCATTGGAATACATACATCACTAAAGATGATTTCAAGTTCATATTAGAAAATGGCTTAAATGGGGTTAGAATTCCCATGGTGTGGTGGATAGCCCAAGACCCTGAAGTAATCGTGTTTCAAGTTTGCAAGGAGAAGATTGGAGGCTCTCATATACTCTGTTATTTATCTGAAGGTTCTGCATTGTCTTTATCTCTCAATTAATGTTGAATAATCTATGTTTTTATTATCAACTGAGCCCTTCTTAGATTTCAAGACTTATATCTCGTGAACCAGAGCTAACACAAGACAGATATCTTGTTTTCAAGATGGAGTGCAAAAAGGTGAATTTGTTTTTTCTTATTCTCTTTAATTTAAAGTTCTTCATTTGATCTCAAGGTTATGACACTAGAATATACTAAAATATCTAGTGTAAGAATACTACAGATTGTGCCTCTTTAATGACAATATTATTAAGAGACAATCACAACACAAGTTGTGCCTAAAAGGTGTTAAAAAAATTACAAACCAGTTATACAATAACCGTAGAGCACCCTCTCACAGGTAGAAGAAAAAAAATTATACCTCAACTCCTAACTCCCTTAAATCTACATAAAACACATCACTGGGCATCCCTTCATACTTACAAAGCACTTTAACCACATCCCAATTAACAAAGAAACAGATTTAAAACTGTATTGGAAAAATTTTAACTATTCACTAGTTCCCTTTTGTTATGATTGTTGCATATGATCTTTACCAAAGAGCTTTTTGGAATTTAAAAATTTTTCTGCATAATCGTGTTGCTATTGCTCTAGAGGCAAACAAACAGAAAATTTTGGTTTCAAAAACAAGCATTAGTTGGAGCATAACATATTTCGCATGCTCTAGAAGCTGCAAAAAAGATTCTAAGATTGTTACCCTTCTATTTTAAATGTTATGAGTAGCCTAGCTAGTTACATTATTTTGATTAAAAGTGTTTTGTTTATTTCTAAGTCTTCCAACTTAAAATTTGTTAAACTTAAACATATTAAGGAACCCCACTATTGAATAAGTAGTCAAGGATAGTTTTGTAATAGTTAAAAAAATTATTCTTTTAAAAGAGGAAAAATGATATGTTACAAAAAATTAAAGTTTGAAATATATCAATTAATTTAATCTTTAAAGTTATTAAACATCGATTACTTGATGTATGATATCCAATTTATATTTCAAGTATTACAAGAATTCGATGGTCAGTACTAGTCAAGGGTGCTAGTAAGGATCTCTTAAATGAAGTTGAAAGATGTTTCCAGGTTAGTATTAGGATAAATAAGGTGCTTCTCTCATTAGCTTTTCTTTTCTATTTTCCTCTATACCTATATTTGTCTTAGTTAGTTTTAGATTAGCTAGTCCTAATCATGGTTAGTTAGTTTGCTAGACCAACAATCATGGTTAGTTAGATTGTTATTTCTTTGGCAACTTATAAAACGATAATCATACTCTCTATAAAGGTGTTAGAATGATACAAGATGATAATTTCTCTCACATAACACTCAACACCTTACCTGCTAACAGTTAGTTTTTTATTTCTACTTAGAGCTTGTGGATTTGATCATTACTTTATAATGTTTTCCCATGACAAGATGTCATTCATATCACAACTTCTTAGGTTGCCTTTGTTCATCATGTCACTTTATTAGCTTATTAAAAAACTTGCATGAAAGAATCCTTTGTAGTATTTTTCACAAATTGTGAGTTTAACGAGCATAACAACATATCATTCCTCACATAACAAAATATTTTGAGTGAATAATCTTCTTTTAATGTAATTATGCCCTTTTTCCATTTTATAAGATAAGACTTGATTTTTTTATTTAAAAAACTAATAATTTTTATCTTTGATTAGGTACTCATTAAAATGTTTTTTGATGTTTTTTTAGTTTATTTAAGTTAATTTTAAAATTCTCGCTTATCAAAGATAAAACCATTAATGAAATCAATATCTTGTCGTATTCTACTCAAACAATAGGAATGAGATTAAAACATGTTAAGCTTATAAATGACATTTTTAGGACTATGAAATCTAGTTGTTTATGATAAATTAGTATATTTTCATAAAGTGATTCTTACTACTTTGTGCCTTGCAGGTGGAAGATGGTTATTACTTATTAGGTATACTCAATGTAAAACTTTGTCACATAAGGAAGAATATTACATCTATAAGGACCTGTACTCTTCAAATTAAGAGTATAAATTTTCTAGATACAATTTACTTTCTGATTGTTGTGTTGTATTCTTTAATTTAAAGGATTTGCACTTGTTGTACCTATTGGTTGCATAACCTTTATTTGAAGGAGCATTGTTATACCAACTCATAGATTTGTTTATATTGCTAGAAAAGTAGTATTGTTAAATAGTTACAACAACAATTAAAATTGCTAATAAATTAATTTTTTTAGCAATAAAATAAGTATTTACAGATGTAATAATAAAGGTCTGTTAGTAATGTAATCAAAGTTAAAAAAGTACTTTTAGTGGCCATTTAAATAACTACTAATATTATCATTAAAGGTTTTTTAGTGGCCATAAAAATAGTTACTAGTATTGCCGTTAAACATATTCGATTTTTAGTGGCCATAAAATGAACTTTTACCAGCACTTCTTATAATTGCCACTAATATTTTTAGCGACTCCATATACACCGGCCACAATCTTATGGTCACTAACTATTTTGCTGCTCATTTATATTGCCATTAAAAAGTATAATAATTGTCACTAAAAGTGATTTTTGTTGTAGTGAGTGGATTTTATTTGCTAAGATGTTTTACCTTTATTTCTTAAGGAGTCTTTTTTCAACAATCGTTGTGGATTGCCCAATTTTAGGTTTTGATGATTTTCTAGCATGAGCCTTGGTCTAACCCTCTCATGCTTATTTGTACCTCTTTTTTGTTCTTAATGATACTTTATGGCATATGACAAATGATAGATAGGTTTGGAAATGATAATGTTGTTGGGATGTCCTTGCTCTATAATAATGCATGCATGCCATAACCGTTATTTTTCTATAAAAAAAAAAAAAAAAAAAAAAAAAAAAAAAAAAAGACAACTAGTGTAGAAAGCTATTAAATTTTACATCAATAGCATCTACATTGGTTCTTTACTCAATGTATAATGCCCATTTACTAATGTTAAAAAAAACTTGTTCTAGTAAAATGATAATTTTTCAGTTCTTAATTGGAATATAACCCAAATTACATGTGGTGTAGTATCTACACTTCACGGGTGGTGGTTAAGGAAGACATTAGTTGGCAATTGGATATATGGTAAATGTTTGGAACATGCCATGGCTTCATGCAGTTGGTGATTCATATGTCTAAACTCTTTTTATTCATGGCTTGAAGAATTTAAATGCATATGATATAATTGATCAATCAATGGGTAATTGGGCTTCAAGTCTTATTAATGATATTTTTATCCCTCATGATACCAAACATTTATCTATGTCTATTTTCTTGTCAAATGATAATAAAATTATTTGGAAGCTAAGAAAGAATGGAGACTAATGTTGTCAAAATTGGGTCAATTATCAATTTGGATGAAGTACTACTTTAGTGGGTCATTAGTTAAACTAATGAATCATTAATTGCACTACTTGAAAATATCACACGTTCATGCACATGTACACACATATAATTTAAACTTCTAAAAAAATTATGCAAAGTGTTGTAGTGTAGTAGTGGCTTTATGCTAAGGAATAAGGTTAAAATCCCTATGATACCAACTTTTCATATTATTTTGATGTCAAGTATTAACCATTATGTGAAACTTGGCCTCTTTAAGACACAATTCCAACTATGAGCTTGTGACGTAAAGTGATCTACTGCCTAGATTATAGATTACCAATTTTATTGGTTTAACAAGAAAACCAGTCAATTCATTTGGATTCACACTAGTTTGAATGAATTTTTGATCCAATTACCTAGACAAATTGATTGCACCAACAGTTCCTAGTTCAATTGGTTCAATTGGTCATCCGAACTAGTTTTGATCACACTAATGGAGACTTATGTGAAATATGCATATTATTACAACATGTAGAATATACTTAAAAATAGTGCAAATCATGAAAATGAGATATTGGATGTTCATTTGGCCGCTTCATATCTACAAAAGATGTTTGCCTACATATAAGTCTTTTTGGAAGGTTGGAACGGCCCATTCCAAATTGGGAACTGCCCGTTCCGAGCTAGAAATTTTAGAGTTTTTTGGAAGGTTGGAACGGCCCGTTCCAGTTTGGGAACGGCCCGTTCCGGACTAGAAATTATAGGTTTTTTGGAAGGTTGGAACGACTCGTTCCAGTTTTGGAACGGCCCGTTCCGGGCTACTTAATCATATGAAAATTACTAAATTACCCTTCATAAAAATATAAAAAATGAGGTATTACATTTGGCTTCTATATTTTTGTCTTTTTTATTCTTTTTTGAATATACCTTTTTTGCTATTTTTTTTAAACAAAAATTGACATTTTCCGGACGAAATTAAGTTACTACAAAGTCATTTACACTTCATTTTAGTCAAATGCTTTTTTACTTTTAAAATTACATTTGAATAAAAAAAACTTAAAAATCAACATTACCCAAATGAGACCCTAAAAGTAATGAGAAAACTTTAGATACTCTTAAGATGATAGATGGATAAAATACAAATTTCAACACTTTTTTATTATTATTTTTTTGTTTTCCTTTTATATAATTTATCAATGTTTTAAAAATCGAACTGATCATTAAATTCGTAATAGGTTAGTGAAAAATGTCGAATCAGTGAGTTATTAATTAAGTAGTATGATCTGATTTTTTTTATAAATATTGATGTCATATACATTTTATATATATAAATTTCAATAAAATTCAAACTATATCTTAAAGCAGTTCTTTAAAATAATTGTAGTCAATTAATATTGATAGAAAAACCACATTATATATTTGTTGAACTGCATAAATCAATATATAATAAATGTATAATTTTAAATTAAAAACATACTATGTAAATTATTTAAGTCATTGTACAATAAAACACAACATGTTGATTTAGTGATCATTGTGATATTAAATAATCACATTTACTTGAATTAAAGTTTTAGATTTAAAATTGTCTTTAATTTTGTTTTATATGAGAAAGTAGTGAACTATATGAATTTATGTATAATTTAAAATTAAAATAAATTATAATATTACTTAAACATGAATTTATATAAAATTAAATAAAAAAATTAAAAATCAAGTATACTATATATATATATATATATCATATGAGTTATTCAGTTCGGTGGTCGTTTGACATTTAAAAACCCAAAATAATTGCTAACAAATCCTGTTTTTTTGTAAAATCATTTTATTTTTCTTCATTTTAAGCGATCACAACTGAATTGCATATTGCATGATGTGAAGTCTCTAATTATTTGGTTTTATAAGTAGGAATGCGTCAAATAATATTTTTAAAATCGGATCGATTATCGCCATACAATAATAATAATTATATAATACATAAATATAATATCATACTTTTTTTTTAAAATATCGGTTCGATTCCGATTTTCTAAATCAATTCTTGGCTATTTTTGATTATTTTTGAGTGAATTCATTTGAATTTTGACCTATTCTTTTATACATCATGTTTATGATTCATTCATGTTGATAGAGTAATCAATGCTTGATTTAATGGATCGAACTAGTTGCTCCATTCTGATTGTGACAAAACAGGTGAGAAGTCATTGCCACCAGCGTGAGAAACAATAATTACTTAGTGCAGCATGTATGGGGCAGTGTATGAAACTTAAAACCACGAAAAAGTGAAGCATGTCATGTGCCAACATGCAACAATTTTTAAAAATAAAAAATGTGTGAACCGTTACTCATGATAACCCAAGGGTCATTGGTTGAACCAAGAAATGGTCGAATTTTATTAATTTATACCAGTTTAATTGCATACCCAACATGATATAAGGATCGAATACGATATATAATTAACTGGGTCTGGGTCTAATCAAGATCGAGTGGCCAATTTAAGCCAATTTTCAAAACTATGGATTACCCTTCTTTCCGTGGGTCTTTAATAACAAAATTATTTTTATCTATTAATTATTTGTTTTAAAATATTAAAATTTAATTTATGAATAATTATAATAAATAAAAATAAAAATAAATATAAAATTAAAATATTTCTAAAAACTCATTTGTCAAAAGGAAATCCCTATAAACACACGGTAACATCTTTTACCAGTTTCATATTTTTTTCCAATATATGATTTTGCCGAAATTGTAGTAGCAGGTGCGAGCAGGTAATGACATTCT